GATGCCTTTGTTGTCGGATAACTCATCAAAAAGTGCAAGAAAATGAGGAAAGTTGAATAATTGACTATGAAAAAACACCTTTTGTTTTTAAGGTTGAGTAATTTCCTTATCGTAATTACTTTTTTCTTCTCTATCATTATAGTTCATGAATGAATTGCATAGAATCTTTATGTGCTTTCATATGATGTTAATTTATGAGATCGTGTAAATTTTCTTCTCAAATCACCATATTTGTCTTCTTTCCTCTATTGTATTTTATTCTCGTTTTTATCCTATCTTTGGAATATTCAATATGATCATATCTCAAACACAAAAATACCAAGTGATTATGATAAAAAAGAGGGTTAGCATAACTTCGATATGTCTTGATTTTGTGAATAAAATCTTATCCTATATTGAATTTTTGGAATTCATTTTCAAAAGTATTGTAATTTTAATAGATACGATCGTTTCTTTGGAAACAAAATTTATTATCTTGGCAAGATTGATTATAGATTTGAAATCAAGAAATTTTTATTTGAAAGCATCATCATCATTTTATATCATCCAAATCAAAATGAATAAAATGAAAAATTCATTCAAAATCTTTCAATATTGATCAAATTTTAAAACATATCGTGTAAATGCTAGGTGATAGTCTCTCTTTTTTGAAACCAAAAAAATTCCTCTCCTATTCCCGATAAATCCTTCCAAGACAATCTTACCCGAAATAATACATCGATGCCCAAGATGAAAAATAAATGACTTGATGTTTTAAATGATGATGAGCGATACCGTTTGGGATATGAATCCACTTTATCTATCAATTCTCCTTTATGAGTCAATTATAGTTTTCAAATGAAACTAGAATGTATCAGCTGAACAAGAACATATTTGAGATGAAAAAAGGTCATTTTTTATATACTTTTTCACAAAAAAAATTTATCCTTTGTTGTCTCACTTTGAGCCTTAAGGATTTCTTTCATGATAACCGAGACTAGAACCACCTCTCACACTCGAGGTAATTTTGAAATTCCATGAATGATCGGAGATGTTCTTCCAAAAAATGAAAAGAGAAAGGATGATGATTGTTCATTAAAAAAAAACTTATTGAGAAAACCCTTGAAACGAATTTGAAAAAGAAATGAAAAACAAAAGTGAAAGCACTAAGAAAAAAAAGACTATCTAAAGTGAACCCTCTCATGATTTAAAGTTAGAAAAAGGTTAGGGAAAAAAAACACACAAGAGTGAACATAAAAGGATAGCCGAGATTAGAAAATAAGATCAATTGGCAAAAATGACAAAGTTAAAGCGGCATGCCTAAAGTGATCTCGATGAATGATTAATTGATCCTAAGTATTTATACCCACAAAAACATTTTAGGCCTTTTATATCCTTTTATTCATAAATTAAAGCATTAGCCTTCATTATGTGCCTATGAAAGCCACTTCGATTGAGATGGCTTGTTTATGTTAATAAGTTCTATCTTTAAATGAGATGAAGAAAAATATTTTTGAATAAAACTTCACTTATATGTGCAATCATAAATCATCATTTATGATATTAAATCAACATTTTTTCATTAAGTAACTGGGCAAAAAAGAAATGAACCAAGTCTTTCTAGGTAAGATCACCCATTTGAGCCTAACTTTCTTCAAAACTCTTTGAGTTCATGAAATCCATCCAAACATGTTGCTCTCATGAGCCAATTTCTAACAAATAACCTTTCAAAAAAGATAGTTTCTTTTTACAATTCTTATATGATCCGAATACATTTTGCTCTTCTTCCCTAAAGAAGGATCACTTTAAAGGTTGTATCATAGCATTTACGTGATTTTTTTTAGCTTTTGACTAAACCATAGTTTTAAATAGTGATCGTGGTTGAAAAAACATTTACGATCACGATCACGATCATAAAATAATGATCACGATAGTTAATTGTATGAATACATTAGCAATTAGTAATAAATTTATTCTAATTCACATTTTTTGACAGACTTTACTAATTAAACATAATGATAAGTAATCATATCTCTAACGAGTTTAATGACATATAACAATAGTTAAATTTATTATAAAAAATAATTAATAAAACTTCCAACAGATTAATATTATATAAAAAATAATTAAATACATTATAATTTCAGTAATTGCAGGGAGAAAGAAAGAAAAAGAAGATAAAAACAAAGTCCATCCTTTCATTACTAACTCATAGGAGAAAGAAAGCAAAAGAAGACAAAAAAATTCCCTCATTTTCATTAGTAATTGCAGGAGAAAGAAAGCAAAAGAAGATAAAAAAATGTCCAATCGCATTTCGGTGTTTTTTTTATATAGTTTAAATTTTTTATATATAACGTTGTTATATAACGACTAATAACGACATTACATAATGGTAATGTTGTTATCCGTCGTTATAGGCATGAAACGGCGTTGAGGCCCTTATAACATCAAAAAAACAACAATAGGTTGCTCCGTTATCGTTATATAACGATCGTTAAATGACATAACAACTATTTTTTAAAACCATGGACCAAACAAATGAAATATTTTCTTGATTGAGATTACATTCTTATAAACATCTCTATGATTTCTTTTGGAGATTACATTCATGTAAATATCTCTATGATTTCTTTTAGCCATAATCAAGCATAAACATAAAAAAAAAGATGGTCTATCATATCCTTCTAAACCAACGTGGTCTATCATATCCTTCTAGGTCAAAGTGTTCTGTTACATCCGTCAAATCAACATGATCTATTATATCCTTCTAAATTAGAATAGTCTATCATTTTTTTATTAAATCATAGTGGTCTACATGTCCTACCAAATCGGAGGGCTATGTCATGTCTCGTAAAGTGAGAATAGTCTATCACATCTTATCAAATCAAATTGGTTTATCACATCTTACAAAGTCGAGTGGTCTATCACATCTTGTCGAATTACAATGATTTATCATGTCTAGTAGAGTCAAACCGATCTATCATATCTTGCTAGATTAAAGTGGTATGTCACGTCTTACTAAATTAGAGTGGTATGTCATATCTTATAGTGTCAAAGAAGTTTGTCATGTCCTACCAAATCGAGTAGTCTATCACATCTTTTAGATTTAGAGTAGTTTGTCATGTCTTTTCAAATCAAAATGGTTTGTCACGTCCTACGAGTCGAGTGGTATGTCATGTCTTACCAAATTATAGTGATTTATCATGTCTTCCAGAGTCAAACCGGTTTGTCATATCCTGTTAAATCAAAGTAGTCTTTCATGTCTTGCGAGTTAGAGTTACCCATCACATTTTGCTAAATCAAAGTAGTCTTTCATGTTTCACAAAGTCGAGTGGTCCGTCACATCCTATCAAATCAAAGTGATATGTCACATCTTGTAAAATTATAGTTGTCTATCACATCTTATAGAGTTAGAGTGGTTTGTCATATCCTATCAAATTAGAGTGGTCCGTCACATCTTATAGAGTCGAGTAGTTTATCACGTCTTGTAAAGTCAAAGTATCCGTTCAAATCGAGTGGTTTGTCAAATCCTTTCAAATTAGAGTGATCCGTCACATCTTATAGAGTCAAAGTGGTTTCTCATGTCTAACTAAATCGAGTGGTCTTTTATGTCTTACGAGTCGAGTGATTTGTCATGTCCTGCCGGATAAAGGCGGTCTATCATGGCTTGCAAAATAAGAGTGGTCTATCACGTCCTTTAATGTCAAAGTGATCTCGTCATATTTTTTCAAATCATAGTAGTATATCACACCTTTTAAAATTAATGTGGTTGTCACATCCTTCTAATCTATATGGTCTATCACCATCACAATTTTACATGTCACACGTTTTTATTTCAACTTTTTTTTGTCAAATAGTTAATTAATATTTGAATTTGATGATTACTTCTTATGTTTGCTTGTTATTTATGTTGTATGTTTCCTTTTTATTTTAGTTTTTTTTTCCTTACAAAGCTTTCTATACAAAGCCAAAGAAAAATATTTTTTAATAACTTTACACCAAAAGTATTGTAAACAAGGACCAACCGTTAACACATAATTTTTATCACAATTAAATTATTTAAATTTGTAAGTTTAAGGAAAGTAAAAAGAGAGAGAGAGACGAAAAAATGAATTATTTGAAAAATAATTTGATGGGTCTAATTAAAAGAAATAGGAAGTTTGGGAACTAAAGAAAACCCAACTTAGGGTATAATTAAAAAGTCCAAATTTCAAATCCATAATTAAGAGAAAGGAAGGGTATAATTGAGGGAAATTTAAAAAAGAGGTCGTAATTAATTGTAATTAAGGGGTGCCATTGAAATATGAACAACCAAAATTGCACCAAAATTAAAAATTAGGAGAACCAAGGACCAAAATTAGTGCTTACCCAAAACCCTATTTTTTTTTTCCATAAATACCTAACATTTTTAGCCATTTAAGGAAGACATGGATTCCAAACAAAGAAAAAAACCTTAAATTCCCAAAATCTACCAAACGACTCTTAAGGAAAAATAAACCCAACATAACCGTGGGTGACACCCATGTACCTATCGAGTTTCTCTTTCTAAATTGGCCACCCCGTCCGATATCTCCTCTAGTCATCACTACCAATCGATATACGGATCCACCATTCTTAACTAGTTAGAGAAGAAGAAGACATAAAAAATTATCGGAATTGATGAGAGAAGGTCGTTGACTCGACCCATTTAGCAACCCAACCAAATCTCCTAATTCTAATAAAATCACCACTTGCCATTGCCGGAAAAACACTCATCACCCTCCTATAAGGTGTTTCCCTAAAAACTCATGGCTCAATGTCACTTTAATAGGTGGAATCAATGATGAAGTCATTTCTTATCTCGTTTATGAAGATCGGACCTAATTGACTAATCAAGGTAAAATTGCACCTCCTAACTATCATAGAAATGTATCTCATTATTCGCTTAGTAGGTTGGTGTCTTTCCCTTTCCTTTTCGTGGTCGAGAACATGGTCGAAGAAGAAGCTTAAAAATTAAAGGTTCGGCCATGGCCCATCTCTCTCTATTGGTCGTCGTGGCCGACACTATCCGTACTAGCCGATAGAGGAGCTCCAAATGACCCTCCTCGACCAACCATATGCCCGAACATGGTCGGATGATGGTCGTGGCTGGTGGTAGTAGCTCCTAGGGTTATTGGAGTTAGTTTTGTAATGTTAGCCTCTAAAGGTATTTTGGTAATTTTACCCCTCGAGGCAATTTAGTCATTTCAAATTTGACCAAGGGAATTTTGGTCATTTTACAATATCAACTTTAATGCTTTAAAAATTAGATGCTCTCTTTCATTAGTTAATTTAACAATCAGCTTGTCATCGGAGACAAAGAGAGTATAATTGATCCCGAACATGACTTCGAACAAATTCAACCATTTCTAATAGCTATTTAGGTAACTTTTGATAATTTTTTTGTCATTAAATTTTCTTACTAAAATGATATGAATGACATGTCTTAATAAACACAAAAATATAAAAAAATACATATCGATTGTGTTTGAAATTTGAAGTATGATTAGATACACTATTGTATATCGAATCTAAAACGATCAAAGACCCTAGTATTATTGAGGTGAAATAAGATAGATTATTCAAAGCTCTATGACGAAACTTGGAGGATGAGCATAAGTTTTTACTTTCAATGGTAGATCCAACAACATCCAAAGTCTCTATACAATGTTTTTAAGCTGAATTGGTTCTTCTATGATAAGGAAAATAACGAGCATGTGCTCGTAAAAATTTCATGATTGTGATCTTTGATGAAGTTTTGAATATGCCAATTTCCATTGTGTTTTCTTTTAATATGGAGCATAGCCTTACATTCTATCTTCAAGCAAGGACAAGAATTATTGGCACTAGATTGTCGCTTGGTCCCATATCTTGTGCTTGCATATTTTAAATCAATAAATTATCTCGATTCGTAGCTTTAAACAAGGATTAGTTTTAATTGACATTCTAAACCCCAACATCCTAAGCATAATTTTTGAAGAATGAATAAGCACTATTTTATTGGTCAAATTCCATTCCAATACAAAGTTTTGTTCTTACTTTTATGTCGATTCATCAACACATGAATCAAAATTATTAATCTCATTGAAAACATGTTTTCCAAGTATTAATATTTAAGTTAATGTCCAATCTCATTATGACCTAACATCCTAAGCATAATTTTTGAAGAATGAATAAGCACTATTTTATTGGTCAAATTCCATTCCAATACAAAGTTTTGTCCTTACTTTTATGTCGATTCATCAACACATGAATCAAAATTATTAATCTCATGGAAAACATGTTTTCCAATAGTAATATTTAAGTTAATGTCCAATCTCATTATGGCCTAACATCCTAAGCATAATTTTTGAAGAATGAATAAGCACTATTTTATTGGTCAAATTCCATTCCAATACAAAGTTTTGTACTTACTTTTATGTCGATTCATCAACACAAGAATCAAAATTATTAATCTCATTGAAAACATGTTTTCCAATATTAATATTTAAGTTAATGTCCAATCTCATTATGGCCTAACATCCTAAGCATAATTTTTGAAGAATGAATAAGCACTATTTTATTGGTCAAATTCTATTCCAATACAAAGTTTTGTACTTACTTTTATGTCGATTCATCAACACATGAATCAAAATTATTAATCTCATGGAAAACATGTTTTCCAATAGTAATATTTAAGTTAATGTCCAATCTCATTATGGCCTAACATCCTAAGCATAATTTTTGAAGAATGAATAAGCACTATTTTATTGGTCAAATTCCATTCCAATACAAAGTTTTGTACTTACTTTTATGTCGATTCATCAACACATGAATCAAAATTATTAATCTCATTGAAAACATGTTTTCCAATATTAATATTTAAGTTAATGTCCAATCTCATTATGGCCTAACATCCTAAGCATAATTTTTGAAGAATGAATAAGCACTATTTTATTGGTCAAATTCCATTCCAATACAAAGTTTTGTACTTACTTTTATGTCGATTCATCAACACATGAATTAAAATTATTAATCTCATGGAAAACATGTTTTCCAATAGTAATATTTAAGTTAATGTCCAATCTCATTATGGCCTAACATCCTAAGCATAATTTTTGAAGAATGAATAAGTACTATTTTATTGGTCAAATTCCATTCCAATACAAAGTTTTGTACTTACTTTTATGTCGATTCATCAACACATGAATCAAAATTATTAATCTCATTGAAAACATGTTTTTCATTATTAATATTTAAGTTAATGTCTAATCTCATTATGGCCTAACATGACAAAAAAAAGTAGTTGAATTATATCTTTTTATCACACACTAATCTAGCAAATCAAATTCTTCTAATAAAATTAATTAATAAAAAATTAAAATAAAATGGGACACCTAAGGTTAATGAACAATGATTGCATTTTTTTATTAAAAAAATAAAAAAATACTATAAAAAAGCAAAGATAAATTAATTTTTCAACATTTTAACATCTAATTAAGTAAAAAAGAATATAAATTGATGAACAAAAAGTAAAGGAAAAAAATCAAAAAAAAAAAAGATATGTGTAGTGCATGAGTTAAGAGATTAAAATATTTATTTTAAATTTTGAAGGACCAAAATGAAATAACTTAAAAATTTAAAAAAAAAAACTAAACTACAATAATTAACAGTATTTATTACTATTTAGTTATAATAAAGAGGCAAAACGTCTAGTTTATTACTGTTTGAATGGTCGTTTTACTTTAGTTATATAGTAAAGTAACGAGAAAAGTCTAAAACTGTTTCACAGTAATGTATGATGGAGAAATTTCAGTTTCTTATCAGATACATTGCTATATGATTTTGTTCTTGGTTTTGAGGTGCAGCAAATTTTGTACGATGGGTGATGGGCTTTTCTATTCTTGATTTTGTAATAGTTTCTTTTTTCTATTTTTATTTATCTTCACGTTCTATCATTATTTTCAAAAGCTTCTTAGTCAGGTTTATTATATATATCCATCCAATCTACTGACATATCTCAAAATCTTTTTTTCCCCCTCTTTTTACTTTTCTACTTCTTTCTCTTTTCTCTCTCTCCACTGTGGTTTCTCACCTAATGGATTTTTAATGGTTTAATTGCATCAAAACTTTCCTCTGTTTTTTTTTTTTAATGTGGTTTCTGTATTTTTTTTATTTATTATATCTTTTTTACTTTTGAATTTTTGAAATTTTTTAGTGAGGCACTTCCAACTGTTTTTGTTATTTTTTTTTTATTGAAACCAACACAACATAAAAAATTCTACGTAGCATATCATGTCAAAATAATTTGTCACGTTAAAAAATTAACCAAAAAAATAGAAAATTTAAAAAAAAAAAAAAAAAAAAGGTAGAAAAAAATACCAAGGTTTTCGCAAAGCGATCTCTCCCCATTTTAGGAATTTCTCCAAATCTGAATAAATTTTTTGCCGAACAAAAAAATTGAATAAATTACAGTTAATAGATGAAATTACTCCGAAAGGATACTTTCAATATGTGTTCATACTAAAACTCAGAGGAGAGCTTATGATCTGAATGGTTTAGTTGATGAACAGTTAGAGTTTTCTGCATTGATTAGATCATTAATGAAACAAATTTTAAATAGGTATTGTCAGCATACCTCTTTTTTTTTCCCTTTGACTAAAAGCATGAAGAGCACCATTGAAAGTAGCGTCCTTAACCTTGTTGTAGACACCTTCAGCCAGTTCATCATACGACCCCCCAAGCTCGAAAAATTCATGTGGCAGTGGATAATTCACTCGATGATGGGAATGTCTAGCTTTCAACATGAGTATGATGAGATTTTGGAACATTACTCATTCCATGGACCGCACTTCATTTCAACATAAAGTCATAGTAAAACAAGACAAGCCTTCCTTTCTTATAGAATCCCCATTGGATGATGGGTTTTCTCTAGTTATAGGATTTAGGTGACCTAGTTTTATATGTTCTCTCTTTGATCCTCGCTGTAGCTGTGTTCTGTGGGCGTTCATAATGAAATATTCGTTTCCAATGCTAAAAAGGCCCAAATATAGTTATAGAAAAGCCCATTTGTTTCATTTTATTCTGAGCAATTTTTTTTGTGTTTCTGGCCGAACAAACTAACAACTGTATTTGCCTTTACTGTTTCTATGGAATCTGCAGTGAATAATCTGATAGATGTAATGCACAAAGAAATATACAGTTTGATAGATACAGATCGGATCGGATAGAAATAAGGCACAGAGAAATACAATTTGATTATGCTATTACTGTATACAAGCGTCTCAGCGTGCAAGTGCACCATACAAAAAGAATAATATGGAATGTGGGAAAGAGAAGGAAGAAAAGAAAAGAAAGTGAGAAAGACTGGAAAAGGTCAATCAGACTATAAGGGATTAAGGCAGGCTTGTAGTCAGTTCCATGGTGTGCTACAACAATCTAAAACCATCGTTGACAAAAAAAAGAAAAAAGAAAAAAAAATAGAATTAAACTGGAAGAAGGCTGTACAAAGTTTGACTTCTGGAGCTTTTCATCATGCTCTACATGATTCAATCACTTCACTCAAATCTTTATGAGTCTCCATTGAAATCAAGTATCTCATCGAATTCTACATGATTCGATCACTTCGCTCACAGCTTTATGAGTCTCCGGTGATATCATGTTTAAGGTCAAGTGAAATGCCTGGAGAAAGAAAATTATCTAACATATTAGAGAAATAAATAATAGCATACTTCCTTGTTTCCAGTTTCATGCTAACTAGCTACAAAGCAAAGAATGTGGTGATTATTTTACCAAAATGCTGACTGGTCAATCCATTTTCAATATAATGATAAAAAAACAATAATAATAATGCACGGTTCTTTTATCAAAATAAATAAATAAATTCAAAACGGGTTGATGCAGAGAGGGTATGAGATTTCAACATGTTGCAATTAGTCTCATCCCTTAGGAACAAAAAAGAAAACATACCACAAATCTCTCCAACACAGGAACAAGGATAGCCAGGTTGTGATTCGGCAGGCAATCAGCAATGGAATCACGGATGCTCTTGCTGTCATTGAACAGGAAGAATTCGATAAACATCACACCAAATAAAATTCCAAGAAGAAAAGGGATGGATCACACAAACCTTTCAGTTGATAGGAATGCAAGTAGCAGTGCTGAATAAGCTTCGACAATCATCTTCTCTGCTTCTCTCTCTCCTTGTAATACAGCTGCCTCATCGTTCTGTACAGTTCAATAGCATGCATATTTTGGAAATATCAATTACAATGATTTATCCAAATTGAATGTTTGATGCTCCTAGGAAACCGAACCAAGTTTTAACATCAATATTACTCTCTGTTATCGCATGCATCCCCACATACATGTGTAAACAAACTGCATAAAATAAAATTCCAAGACATTATGCAGGTTACTCACCCATGACACATTGTTTCCTTCTCCAGCTGCATCACCAGCACCTTGGTTGGCTAGGAAGATGGAGCACAGTAGTGGAATTACATCCTTACGACTCTCATCTTCCAACCCTTCTGAGCTTGACAGTGGAACACTTGTTGCAGCAAGCCTTGATCTGCAGTCAACTTTAACCATAAGTTTCGACAGGCAATAAACATAACACTTGCCTTTTCTACCAGAAAATTATAAATATTTAAGGAAACTTAAACCAAATGCCTCCTTCAATATCAAAAGAATGAAATCCTAACAAGCAGACTACTACTAAATTGAGAGATCTAGCCAACAAGAAGATATCCAAGTGAAGCCAGTCCATAAAGTCAAGGACAATTGCTAATTCATCAAATGCAAATCTGAATAGAGATCATTGGAGTGTTCAAAATAATAACATCTTGTTGAACACAAAAATTAGAGAATTGGAAAGGTTTCAATCAAATTTGAATGTCATCAGATAATAGCACAAGGATTCTATTTAATACAAGGAGAAAGTTGGTTTGAGGAATTGGTGTTGCTTAAATACAAGCAAAAGTGATAATTCCAAAAGATGGTAGGAAAGCAACACTGATTTAAATTCAATCCTATACATGCAGTTGCCATCTAAAATCAAATTTTCAGAAATTGCTAGGATGTTTAAATCTACTCGCATCATACTTATAAAGATAATAGTGAACATGAAGGAAAGCTTCAGCGGGTAGAAAGCAATAAAAACAAGGATAATAAATCAAGGTTCAATAGGTTAAATTCATAACAATTAAGATCAAAGAAGCACTTCACTATGCCATGCACAAGTTGCAAGTAAACAACATATGCATAAGAGCAATGATTGTTGCCTAAGTAAAATTGACCTGTTATCCCCGTCCTTTTCTACCAAGTTCACAAGTAGGCCCAATATAGCAACAAGCAAATCCAACTCCTGGTCAGTGAAATGTATATCCTTCTGATTTCCGAGTTCAATGGTTGAACTGTCCTCTTGCGTCTCACGAAAGAAAGATATAGATGAGCTGAACAAGGGGAAGTGGCCAGCAATCAACGAAGGCATAGTCTCCAGTCCTCCACAAGCAGCAATTTGTTGACAGCCAATAGGATTGTCATTTGTTAAATTCATTAGAACCTGCCAAGCAACAATGGTAACTACAAAGGTCAAATTTAAATGTAATTTAAAAAAAAAAAAAAAAAAAAAGAGCATATGCAGCTACCTTTTCTTACTTTGACAGCAGAAAAGAAGAGTGGAACTTAAAAGAAATTTCTCTAAATGGTTCGAGGGAATACCTTGATAGCAGTAAGAAGACAGTCTGCCAGAAGGCTGGAATGTTCTTCATCAAGAACACTGCAATAAGAGCTTTTCTGTGAATGATATTGTCCCCTATTACTTGATTTTTGTAGGCAGTGTTCACTATTACTTGATTTTTGTAGGCAATTTTCGCCATTACTTGATTCTTCCTGATTCATTAGGTTATATTGACACCCATTTTCAACTTCTCTGGAGCCTACCCTACCAATACGAGTTCGAGAGATTTTCCTTTTCCCAGAGAGCAAGTCCCACTTGGAGGGCTGAAAATCATCTTCATCAAATGCATAAGGATCTTGGCTATCGTCTAAGAGCTCTCTCCTGGCATCTTTTGTACAATTAGGTTTCTCAACAAGGCCAACTTTGGTTCTTGACCCATTACTATCATGACTCCTTAAGGTCTCACTACATGAGCTGGACATGGAAGGACGGACTCTCAAGTTCAGTTGACAAGTATTTTTCATAAATGGTGTGGTAGTTTCAGAACTGGAGGCAGAAAGACTCAACCGAGCAACAGAATTCTGAGATACATTTAATCTTTTTTCAGATGATGTCCTCTCGTCATTGCAGCAATCAGTAGAAGAACTGATACATATAACTCCATTGCTGTCTACTGCTAATTCAAATCAAAGATACATCATTAGAGAGAGGGAGGGAGCAGCAGGCAAACAGAAACACTAGATTGATATCAGGCTACCACATACCTCTGTAGTCATTACTTAAGGCCAAATCAGAAGCATTATCACTCCTTTCAGAAAGATTACAATGGTTTCCATCACTGGAAGCAGCGGCAGAACTGTTAAGCAGATGAAGACCTAGAAAATCAATGCCATCAATCATCAGAACACAGACCAGATCAAAGCAATCAAGTTAAAAACTGGAAATAGACAGAAGCAAGAAAGAACTATTACTGGATAGAATTTTGATGACACTTATAATGATTTTAGTAAAAGATAGCCGATGCGCGTGAGAATCTGAGTTCCTCCTCATTCCAAGCAAATGAGTCTTGTATCAAAGAAGAAAATATTGAACATCAAAATCAAATAATTTGGCTTCAAATGGCATTTTAAATTATAATAACTAAGCAGATGAGGAATAAACAGGAGAAGAATAATAGACAAAATCACATCTCATTGCACCTGGTTATCTTTACTTAAGAATGTAGCATTTTCCATAATTTTCAAGCATTTCAGAAGCAGCACCAGGCTCGACAGATGCATATCATCTTTTGAATCCTGAATGGCACGTGAATTATGTTCTGTCCACCTCTGCAAATAAATTTGTGTTCAATAGTAAGCATCTCCAAATAATTTATATCACTAATTAGATTGTCAAAGACAGAAATGGACCAAGATAGGCATGTATTTAGTATCAAGTATAATGACTCAATTCAGAATAAATAAATAACAAGACTTCCATATACAAAAGAAACTGTACTTATTTATTATCAGGTATAATGACTCAATTCAGAATAAATAAATAACAAGACTTCCATATACAAAAGAAACTGTACTGATAGTCTGCTTTAGATCTCAGAAAATGAAAGTCAAACAAAAGGAAATAAATGCATGCACACCAATCATCTTTTAGTCCAGCAAGAACAGTGATGAACTACACTCGGGACCAAAGAGGATTACATTCCAAGAGAGAGAGAAATGAATAATACAGATCAGTGCTATAAAGCTAAATGTGAACCAGACGACTAATTAGCAGTGCTGGAAAATTTATCATGGATAAGATGAGGAAGCATATGATTTTCCCCCAATTGAATACATGAATTGGGCACAAAGTTTCCAGTTGCACACTGTTCCTAATTTCTCAAATGATTAACTAAAATTAGAGTTGTATTTAAATTTTAAAGCAACAAGAGGTCTTGATTATTATGACCCACAATTCTATACAATAACACAAATAAAAAGATAAAACAAACATACAAGCTCACACCTCCATAACAGTGTGACAATTCATGGTGACCTCAAAGACAGCATCAAGTCCTCCAAGCTCCCGTAACTTCTCCTTAAAGTTGCCCCCTGTCTTCCTTACCATGCCAGATGTATCTGAATGAAGATGCACATAGAAATAAATAAGCAATCAGAAAAGAGAAAAAACAAGAAAGAGTGAGCGTCAATGCATGAGGTTCTATTGCTTAGAAAAATGCACATAAGCATGTAATCCAACAAAGGAAGGTTCATGACAGCATGTTGCATGCAGAAGGGCTTGCATTCTTCAGGTTCCATAAATAAATAATTCAATGAAAAAAATATGCATATAGGATAATTAAAAAAAGTTGAAGAATTTTGTAATAAATAGCAATATGCTAAAAAGATCATTTTTAACTCAAGTAATTAATAAATAACCAAAAACAAAACTACCTCAGCATGTAATCCAACAAAATAGACAACTGAAATTTGTACCAAAAAAGAGGACAAAAAAATGATTAAGAGACACTGTCCATTACACAATGGTGAAAGTTAGACCTACTTCAACAAGATAAGTCAGAAGACAGAAGCAGTCAAAATAAAAGGAGAAGAGAGTATAAAAGCATTTGCATCGACAATACTAGCTTTATAATAAATGGTATCCAGGAATGCATTCATAGTCCCCATCAACAAAAATACTATTTATCCTATGATAAAAATAAACCATATGGAAACTGATAAATGTTTGGCTGTGTATGAAAACAAGCAACAGAAATGAAAAACTAACAGCTCCTTATAGACAAAGTTGGAAGATATGATATCTAAAATACCTTCAAAAGATATCTTAGATAAACAAGCTTTCTCCATGGACAACAACGCAATCCATTTTGGAGTCAATTCTGGCCTCTCCATTCTACTATCATCACCGCAACCTGACTTCAAGTCCTTGCAATTAACAAGAACTTCTTGAACTTTGGCAGCAATAGCAGCAGAGCTAGAATCTGCCAGCTTACTTGTATCTCGTAAGATGTCAGAATCCTTGCGTAATGCTAAAAGCTTACTGCCTATATTTCGAGCCTTATCTTCAGTAGCAGTGGAAATGATGGGTTTTAACAATTTAATAAGAAAACGAATGCAAGTTGGTGACTCTAAAATGTGTTCATCTTGACCCTGAAACAGTGAAATTAAAGCTGTCAAAACTATTCTGATGAGGGACAAGACAAATAAAGAAAATGAATTCCAGCCTTGAGAAATCAAATAAACAAACAAGAAATAACTGGCTAAGAACACCAGCTTATGATTTGAGAACATTACAACATTTGAGCACCAAAACTTAAGATTCTATGTTTACAAGCATAGAACTCCATATGAATATTTTATTAGAAGTTACAGGTTCCACTTGCTATTATTAGGTCTCAAAATAACTGATGTCAGTCATTGCATTCCATCCTTGTCCAAACAACTGATGACAACACTACCTTATCTAACCAATCAGATGAAAGTAATGCTGCATTCCTAGTTGCCTTTGTATAGATTTCAGAGGTCCCTTTTTTGAGGTTTTCAACAAAATACTTAGAGCACAAGAGAGTGCAGAAAAAAAGGTAGAAAACATAAAATAACTTACGTCACTAGTCAAAACATAGAAGAGTGCAGCAGCAGCCAGATTACTTGTTGAGTCATCAAAGCTGAGGCCTAAAATAGCATCAATTATTGTCTTGGCCATCCTGAAAGCACAAAACTTTAGAATTTTATCATGCACGAGATACAAGACATGGAACTTGATGTCAGCAAGATGAGAATAGTATACTCAATACATGATAGCTGACCAACAAAGGAGTTATTGTGTGTAAATAAACTAAAACATCTAACAAGACAACCCAACATGCGGTATTTCATTCAACAAATGGCATGAAGAGTAATTAGTATTCTTAACTTCCACTTCTGACAAGTTCTAGGTACTTTTGGATATGCATACTGAATTCCCATTTATTAAACATATCTTCCCGAATAACCCCATGATTTAATTAAAATCTTCCACTCATTCAATCTTTCTTAATGAGATACTTCCAAGCTTAAACAGAAAAACCATAAACCATCACAAAAATCAACAAATTGCATACCCTTCTGTAAAATTCAAAATCTATAGTAAAACAAAACAATAAATTCAAAACCTAAAGCAAGATATCCCACAAGACAGCCCATTTCTTTAATTTCAAGAACTTGAAACAGCCCTAAAACTGCCCTAAAAAAAAAAACTCTCCAAGAAGCCATCAAGAAGATTAGGAATTTCAAGAATCTCAACAAAACCACCAATGAAAAAAAATCAAGAACTCAAAATATCCTTAAAACTACAATACAATTTAAAATCAAAACTCAAGAACCCATCAATCGAAAACCACGCTTTGAACTGCCAATACCTTCTCCCCGTCAAAAACCTTCCAAAAAAATCCACCATTTCTCAAAAATTAACCCTACATTCAATCTTTCTAAATTCAAATCCACCCGTTATTCTAAATTCAACAACTTACAGTATCTCCAAAACTACCATACTTTCAATACCCCCAACACTGCCCTTCAAAAATTCAAAATTCAAACCAAATCCAAAAAATTCAAACACAAAATAACTCCAAATTCAATATTTAAACATCGCAAAACTAAAACAGTAACGAAATTTCGAAAACAAAACAAAGCCCACATACCCCTGAGTCCTCAAAAGCCGTCTCTGCTGTTGAGTCCCGCAAATCCCTAACAAAGACAACAAACTAGCTCTCTTAATCCTCAAAGGCTGTCCTTTCTTTAACCCATCAAGTGCAAAATTAACCTCATCAACATGCTCCATCATTTCCCCAAACTCTTGCGCCTCCATCAACGTCGTCGAAGTAGTCAAAAAATTTGAATTCCCAATCTTTCCAGGTCTCTCAAATTTGGACTTACTATGTCTTGCCTTCTTCGATTTTCTTGGAACGACACCGTTTGGGACGGGATTGTCGTCGAAACTGTAGGGATCGAGATCGAGAGAATATGAGGTGGATTCTTGAGAAGAGAAAGGGAAGTTATTGCTGAAGAAATCCTGATTAGATGGGGTTTCTTGAGAGAGAGAAAATGAATCACTGAAGGAGTAATTCTGGTCAGATACGGTGTCGTTTAATGAATCTGAATACGTTCTCGTTAGGTTTCCTCCACCTCGGTTTCGCCGGCCGTAAGTTCTAACGATCATGTTTTTTTGAATTCTTGATTGTTTAACTCAGAGGAAGAGGAGGAGGAGGTGAAGAAGAAGAGAGTAGGGTAGATTTGGCATAAAGAGGGTAAGAAGAGGCCTTTTTGGGGAAGAAAGAAATATTTGAAATTCTCTCGTTCTCTCTGTTTGGGTCGGGAGCTCCAGCAACGAGAACGGAGGGGCTTTAGGACAATCAGAAAGCGAGAGGCTCGTAAGTTGAATTTCTATGGATTTTATTTTTTTTTTTTTTTTTTTTTTTTTTGTGAGATTCAGTGCTGATTAGTGTAGATGTTTAGGGTTGTTTTAGTGGGGTATGGGAGTAATTGAAGCGTATGATTAAGGATGATGATGGGAGAGTCTTAGATCTTGTTTGGAATGGAGGGTTTCAATGATGATGGAGGGACCTACTTGTATCTTTGTTTTGATTGGCCAGCAGCAAGGACTAGAAAACCGTAGGAGTACTAATATACTTGAATAATCTATATTTTAGTCCCTGGAGATTCAGTGATGTTTCAATTTGAACCAATCCAGTTTGTATTGATTTGGTAATTTCGGAAAGGTCGTAGGAGGACCTTAAAACCCGATCCTATGGAGTTGGGCATGAGAAACATTTTCTCCGAGACAGGAATGGGGCATTGCGTTGTCCCGATTATATAGTATTTTTATATATAGGAAAATTATTTTTGGTGTTTAGGTATGATCAAGGATAAAATTTAATTTATCTCTCCAAGGTTTGAGGGATTTCTCATATTTTTTTCTTAAATTTTATTTATATCAATTATTTTTCTTAATTTTATCAAAATTTCAATTCTTCTTTTCTATCTATTAAACTAACATAACTAATAATATAAAATTTTTATATTTCAATTAACTTCTTAAAGTATTAAAAATATCTCAATCAAATATTTATTTTTGAATTATATAAAATTCATAAAATTAGTGTTGTCATTTATTTTTGAAAAAATAGGAAGTAGTATTATTTCAATTATAAATGTTACATCATTAGTTTTTAGTTTGAGTTTATGTATTTTATTATATTAAATTTTACATTTTACACAATTAACACTTTTTTTTAAAACAAGAATATAAAAAGATAACGAGAATCTAATTTAACTCTTTTTTTATCAAGAAGCTACGTTTACTTGTTATTAGATCATTTTGATTTCATTAAAATATAAAAGATTTATAGTTTGAATTTATGTATTTTTATCAATATATTTTTATATATTTTAAAAATTTATAGATTTTTTAAATAGGAGATAAAAAAGAAAATATAATACTAATTAAAAAACAAGATATCAAAGAATTCATGCTTAATTAAGACTTTTTTATAAAAAAAATTAGAAAGTCAATTGAAATATATTAAAAAAAAAACATAAAATCTTTGGTTTAATAGATAAAAATGAAGAATTGAAATTATGAAAAGAAAATTTGAGAAACTACTCAAATCTTAAAGGAGCAAACTAAAATTTACATTATAATTAATGATCAATTTTAAAATAGATTTATTACTAAATTTTTGTCTTGTTGTTTACGTCTTACCATGTCAACTTTCTAATGGGAAATTCAAAATTTATACGAAAGCAGCATTTATTTTTATGGATAAGATCATAACAACTCCCCCAGATCTATGGATAACTTGAAGCTAAAGGGTATGATTTGGAATATTGCAAGACTCTTAAGAGCCGAAAATAGTTTAGAAAATGAACAAATGCCCAACCCACTTGCTTCTAATTTTCTTTTCTTTTAAATTTGTGTTCAATTAGAGCTGTATTTTAATTAGTTCTTACATAGAAAATTTCAAAGGGCTTTTTCTTTTATCGTTCAAATTATTAAAAGAACCTATCGTTGCCTTTTAAAAAAAAATAATAATTAAAAACTCATATTATGGTATATTTTAGAGCAGTGTAAGGGGTAATTTTCTTAAAATCACATAAAAAAAATTAATTTCAATTAATACGTAAATTGGTTCAGTAATACTTTTAACCATTGATCCAAAAAAAAACCAAAGATTAAAAACTCAGATCTCGGCCCCACCATCATATCAGGAAACTTGAAACTGAAGGGAATGAAGTGGAATATTGCAGAATTTACGAGAGCCGAAAAATAGTTTACCCAAAAAGTTCATAACAAAATATAACTGGGCCTGCATGTTAAATAAATGAGGCCGAACGTTACGAAGAGTTAGCAAAACCAGTCTAGTAAGTGAAGAAAGCCCAGTTTAGTTAATTTTTTTTCCTCAACAGAAATTTGTGTTCGATTAACCTATTCTAGGAAAAATCGAGAGTGATACCTCTTCGGCCGCATGCAATTTCAAAATATATTTTTATCAATTATGTGTTTTAATGGGAAGAATATTTGGTATATGGAAAACTATATTTTCTTTTTTCGCATAAAGAGGAAATTTATTAATAATTTTTATAATAGAATTATATTTATGTGAAATAAAAAAGTACAATTTTGATATACATAATGATTTCTTCTTCAACAAAAGGATAACTCCGGGGGGCTATATGAAACTGTGAGCATGGAATGTGAGTAAGGGTTTAAAGAAAATTTATGGCATCCACGACTCTTCCACAAGAACAATTAAATTAACTGAAAATAAAAAAAAAACGTTATTTTACTGTAGATTCACTATTTGAAACATTACATACTCATATTTCACTTTGCATTTCATTATTCGTGACTTTTTTTATGATTTGGTCCTTAATATTTTCAAATGCATATTTTAATCCACATGCTCATTTGCTCATCAATTTTAGTCCTTAAGTGAAGAGAGAAGGTTGAAAGGAAGAGAGAGAAGAGGAGAGAGAAATAGTCGGCCAAGCTTATTTAGGCCACTTTGGCCGATGAAAATCCACTAGATTTTTTTATTTTTGAGAAATGAGATTGTCAATTGTGGTTTCAAGCCATTAAACAATTAGAAAAGATAGATCGGAGAAAAAAATGATTTAATTTTATATTTTTCTTTGCTTTTTGTGTGCATTAAAATGATTTTTAAGGTCTTAGATGTGTTTATCGGCTTTATTCCGGTCATTTAAAGGTATTTGGTGAAAAAAAAGATGTTAAAATTCAATTTCTAAAGATCCGAAAGTTGACCTTTGATTTTTCGATGAATCTTCCAACGATCTCAAGTTCGTCGAAAGTTGCAATTTTTTTTTTCGGTGTTAAGCGAGTAGCTCAAGCCTAACACGTAGGGCCAAGGTGCTCAACCCAAGCCCGGCATGCAAGCTTTTTTTTTTTTTTCTTTTTATTCCCTTAAAAATCTGTATATATACACATATATTGACTCCAGTCACCAACGTTGACTTTTTTTTTCCTATGCCATACAGCTTGTTTGAAAAGAACAACCAACCTCGCCTCAATTTTTTTCCTTCCTAAATGTGTGTGTGTATGGAATTAGGTGTGAAAAACATAAAAAATAAATCGTTATAATTTTTAGATGATAGAATATATATGATATTTTTTTAGATTTTAGTTTATATATATATATACATATATATATATATATATATATATATATATATTACTTTTATTGTTTAAAATTTATTTCTTCAATTATTTGTTTCTTATTGAAATTCTCATCATATTTATTTTTTATGTGATTTTATTTTTTAATAAATTTAGTTTTTTGATATATGAATTTTAGAATGAAAATTTAGTTTATTTTTTAAAAATATATTATTATAATTTATACAATAAATTCTTCTTTTGTTTTTTAAATGCATTTTTTATTTTTTAAAAATATATTATTATAATTTATAAATTATGAGAGAGAGAGAGAGAGAGAGAGAGATAAAAGTATGTTTTAGATAGTCTAACTCATTTTTAAAAAAACATTTATATCCAGTTAAAAGAATTCATAAGTTTTATTTTCACACACACACACACACACACACACACATATATAACACCCGAATTGTATGAAATATATCGAAGTCAAAAAATTAAAATAAAAACTATAATAAATTTAGTTTTGATAAATTGCATATATATATATCGTAGTATAGTGCAAGTATCTTATACTTTTTTTTCAACTTCAAACTTTAATTATATTGTAATTTTATCGCATTTATTTTTTTATATAATTATTTTATTATTTCAAATTTGTTACTTTAATTTGTCGTTCTTCTTTTAAATTATCATCCAGTTAATTTAAAATTATATAGTCCTCAAATTTTCTATACAATATTGTTAAAACAATTTTAAACTTTAATTGTATTATGATTTAATCACATTCTGTTTTAATATATTTTTTAATTTTTTTTAATATTTCAAACATATAACTTTAATTTGTCGTTTTTTAAAAAATTCTCATCCAATTAATTTCAAATTATTTTTAATGACGGTTTTGGTTTATTTTAATATTATTCATTATTTTCTCATCCAATTAATTTAAATTTATATGGTCCTCAATTTTTTTATACAATATATTTTTTTTAATTTCAAACCATAATTGTATTATGATTTTATCCCATTTTGTTTTAGTGTTTTTTATTGATTATTTTTATTATTTAAATTTTATTGTTTTAATTTTTTATTTTTTAAAATTCTCATCCATTTTATTTAAAATTACATTAAAATATTTTTTTCACCTTTGATTTCATATATTTTTATATATTCACATCATAAAACGGACTATCAAACTAAAATATATATTTTATCCAATCCGCATCCTAGCACGGGCAAAAAATCTAGTAATATACTAAAACGAGTGAAAAAATATTATTGAGTATACTATCGCCGGCATTATTTTTCCATACACAAATGAAATATGCACTAACGCTTAAATGCATTGTAGATTTTTTTCTGTTCAAGGTTTTTTTTCCTACCTCTAAAAAAAGTGGAAAAACACTATTAGGTCCACTATAGCTAACACTATTTTCCCATACGCAAATACAACACTAAAATACAATGTAGATTTTACTATTCAAGGTTCTTTTTTTTGACTAGGTTTGATGTTAGGGACATTTACCATCTTGCCCTTGATGTTGTTG